CATAACCATTAAAAGCTTCTTCTTGTTGTTTTAACTCCTCCAGTAATATTTAGCATGTTTCAATTATTAAGAACTTTTGAAAATAAGAGCCGATAGGTTTGAAAGCCGATAGGCCTTTTCTCGTCTTTGAAATTCAAACCGATACCCTCATTTTTTTTCGTATTGGATCGGTTAAAATTTACTTGAATCCTCTTTACCTTACTTATGTACTTACTTATTTATACGTGAAAAAAAGGATAAATTATGTCTTTAATGTTTAAAATGAATACTGAGAAATTAAAAAGCGGAAAAAAATCCGCCCAAAAGGGCGCAAAAGCTTCTGAAAACTAAAGTTCTGAATACGAATGAATATAGGCTTTGGTTCTCGCTATGAAAGAAAAAAGAAGGTAGAAAGAGAAGTTTAGTTTATTTGAATATGTCAAAACAATTCAGGGCTAACTTGTCCAAGGGAGGGGTGCTTTCGTGGATGCACTCTGTAAAAGAAACTGGCTCGTGCACGCGCTGCATATTGGGAAAACTGCGAAAGCAGCCAATAAGCCAGTCTGTTCGCCGGGATTCGACCCCGTATTGAACTACCAGAGTTCAGAGGATTTTACCAATCGTCTCTGGCGGGCTGTGTGTTGTAAGAATGGATGATCAAAGCGGATGACAGAAAGCCACCTGAGTGTATATATATTTACCTTCACATCCAATCCGCCCGACCCGGCCCTACATTGAAACAACCAGAACCGCCCGAAAACGGCCGAGATAGTAATCTTCTTTTCTTCCCTCCCCCTAAGGTATGCAGTAGCAGGTGCACTTTCCCCAAATGCATTGTATCAGTTTACTGCAGACAGCTTCTCCTAAGAGGTTTTTTTTTTTATCTTTTGGTTGATCGTGACATTTCGTCGTTGATTCTTTTGTGGAACAGTGTGCTTTTAAGCTTTAAACAGCAATAAAAGAGCAGTTTAAATATTTAAGGATTATATTTATTTTAAACAATTTATTCCTTCCCATAAAAATAATGGAAATAAACAAAATCTCAGTCGTGATCATAACAAAGCCGGAAAGGCTTGTTGATCTGACCTTCAGAATAGTTTTATAAAGAACGGGGTCAAAGGCTAATGGAATCTTTGCTAGAAAGTACAAAGGATGTCATTGGAAATATTCACACCTATTTTCTGCGTTAATGGACGGGGAGGGGGAGGAAATTGCAGTGAAACTGGAAAAGTATTTCGGGCGGTTCGGGTATTTTGAGGATACAGCTTAGTGAAGGGTCTGGATTTCAAAGAGTTAAATATGGTGCCTTATTCCTTACCGAAAATTTTAATGAAGCATCGCCACAGTATATTTTCACCAAACCTAATGAAGCAAATAAAGAATCTAGCTTTTAACCAGCTTTCTAGCTTTTTAAGTTAATCACTTTAAATGTTTTCTCAAGTGAGAAATAATTGCTTTTATTCACCAAATAATTCTTTCTACGTAAAAATAACGGTTATAACTTAAAAAGAAATTCTCAAATACCTTTAAGGAAAGATAAAAAAACCGTTAACTCGATCGAACACTTGAGGTAAATTGGCTTAAAAATGCGTCGCCACACATTTAAATTCTTAAAACTTCAGTAAATAAATTCCGGTCAAACAATTAAAGGTGGTCTGCTGGGAAAACAGAAACCAAAAGAGGTTAATGAAATTATTTATTTGTATTCAAAAACATACCGAGAACTGAAAAATTAATCAAAAATCTTAATAAATTGTTCCAAGAGACTTTGTTAATTGTTGAAGATTTGTCGTCTCTTAAAAGAACGTAAAAATGAGCTAGTGTGCTTTCATTTGAGATTTAAATGTCTCATTCTTCGTCAAGAACGTAATGCATCTGTCTTTTGATTTGTTTGCTTTTTGTTTCACTAATTATATCGGTCACTTATGTTTTGTTCGAAGTTAATTGCCGAGAATTAATTGAAAATTTGGTCGGAAAATAGAAGAAGAAAAGAATGAGTCGAATGTATCGGATATATCCGAAAAGCATTAGGACTTCCGTCAGATAATTATGCGGTTGCAGTTTAGTTCTTTCATCTTTTTCTTTTTCTTTTTTTTTTAAATTAAAGAATGCTGATAGTTTTTTAAAATTATCTACGGATAATTTTCAATTGAAAAGCTAAAAAGTACATTTAATCAAATTCATTAACGTTAACGGTAATGATTATCGGAGACTTAAAATTATATTAAAAGAAGAAAATAAAAAATTAAATACACAGAATAAGTAAATAAAAAAGAAAGGAAAGAAAAAGGGAAAAAATTTGAAAGCTTTCAGAATTTATATTAAGCTCAAAGCGGCGTTTTTGTTTCATTTACACACAATGCACGTTCCGAAGCGTTCGGGCTAACGCTCCTTTAGGCTAAAAATATTTAAAATAACGTATCTTTAGAATTTCGGTTAGACAGTCTCGCGCGCTGGAGATAATGTTTTATTCCGTACAGTGTTGCCACTGCTTGCTTTGATATTGTTGAGTGTTTAAACAAAAGTTCGTTAAAGTTTTATAAAGTATGAAATAGGTAATAAGATAATTCCAAAATTCAAAATTCGGGGTTCCACGTGTTCGTATTCGGGTGGAAGATTATGTTATTCAAAATTGCCAGTGAATTATCCAAACGTCGACCTACAATCCTCTTTGGACTTGGAAAGGAACTGTTAAGAGGAATGGCATAAAATACTTCTTGCGATACTAAAAAAGGCTTTTAAACTATAGCAAGATATAGAAAGATGGCGAATAATTAGGATTACCAAATGGAACATTTCAAACATAAAACTTTTAGGTAAAATATTTCTGTAAATACAATAAAAATCATCTAAAATATGTGCGAATAGCCTCCGTATTACCTCATTTTATAGTATTTAAACAAAGTTTAGACTGTGAAAACGAAAGGGTTTTAAAACTAGTCATTTTGTAAAAGAACGCGAAAGTTAAATTGCACAACGTTTACCCGCAGCCATCTGAAATAACAAATCCTGTCTAGTTAGGCTGAGAGAATCAAGTCACTTGACGTCATCAATGACTCCTAAGCTTTTCGACCTTCTGTGACAGCCATAAAATCCAATCGATTCTATACATAGCAACGTAATATAAGGCGTTAAAAAATTCTTTTTTGAAGCCAAAATTAAACCAAGAATTTTGAATTCTGTTCTAATTCTTAATATGTGTTCTAATTATGGTGAAGAGATAGAATTTACAGGATCTATTTACTGACGTATTATAAAATATCTCACGTTAATTAACCAATTATTTTAAGTCTTCACTATAACTCTCATTTCAATGTTACCCACCAGAAGGCAAATTATACTTGTGTGTATTTCAGCGGAAGGTTTTTTAATCTATATTTCTAAGATTCTGGCAACCGCGCCGCCCAACCGGTATAGTGGTTAGCGTCGCTGACTGCCGTGCCGAAGGGCCCGGGTTCGAATCCCGGAGGGCTTGGCGGTACTCTAAATATGCGGCGAGCAGAAAGTCCTGTCGTGTGGTTTGGTGGAAGGGGAGAGGGGGGTCGGAGAATCTCGGACCTGTACCCCCGTGGTGTTCTCCATCAAAATTGGGGGCGGAACTGAGCTAAATCGCACTGTCTCCCGTAAGGTGCTCGTTGGCTGTTGCCAACAACAGGCATAATCTTGTGATCTTTGCCACGAGGAATTTGAGGCTACTTGCCACGAGATCACGGCCAGACAAGTGAGCATAAGTAACAGTAACAGATATGGCAGCCGCATCTTGCACTTAGTGTGCTTGGGCAGCTCTGCTTAAAAGTTATATTCCAGTTATAACATATCGCTAGCCTACTCCTATAAATACGACGCTGTAAAATATCTGAGCCACCTTACTTTTTAGTCTATTTTATCCTTAGTCTTAAACTACGTTATCAATGTCTGAATTTAATTGTCTGTTATGTTAATTTAAATATCTACAAATGATGGGTGTTCCGTCTGTAGCACAATTTGTGCCTCTTCAGTCACGGGTACTAGATAAAAAGGTTATTTTAACCTTCTTTAGTATTTTCTGAGCTGTTTAAAGACGTAGGGATAAGTCTCTGCTTGTTTAGTAGTGTCTGCAGGACTTAAGCTTCAAGTTCTAACAGAAACTTTACAGTATAAACAGTTTAGTTCGCAATCTGAAAGTCGATGTTTTTTAAAACTTTATTGTTGATTTATCGTTATAACAGAAAGTGAAACTTAAACCAACCGAACTGCGTTTTAAATAAGCCCTATTGCATTAATTTCAATGAATGTTTATGTTCTTCTTGTAATTATTTATCTGATTACGGTAAAATACATTAAGAGCATCAGCCTAAAAAGAGGGATGCTTTCGCGAAGAACTTTCCAAGGAAAACTGACCAGAATGTATATATTAGACTGAAGTGCAAGGTTCGGCAAACACGAAGCCTACAAAGCATTAATAAAAAAACGATGACGTACTACACTTTCTTTACTTTATTACTTTTTGTTCATCAACCAATGAATGTCCTTTTCTAAGAACAGATTAAACAAACGTGGTAATAGTAATTTTCTGCCCAGGAAATGATATTTTGTCTTTAAAAATTCAGTTACTATTCATTAGTGTATAAGGTATTTCTCTCGCCTTCTTGGCATGCCTTCGTGGTGTAGTAGTCAGCACTAAAAGGATTGTGGGTGATGATTCTCTCCACCAGGATTTGGCTATTGGGTCCCCTAATCCCCAGTCGCCCTTTAAAAGGGGGAGTATATAAGGTATTTCTTCCGCCTTTGTAGTGTAGTGGTCAGTGCGCTCGGCGCGTATTCGAGAGGACCGTAGTTCGAGTCCCGACGAATCCGCTGCTCATCTCTCCTGTTTCAAAAAACCTAATATCTCTACAAGTGTTTTGGCGTATATATCGGATAAAATTTGCTATCTTATTATTAAGCACTGAATATTAGAAATAATGCTATACGGCATTAGCAATAGTAATTTTGAAATAAATTTAGACAAAATGTTAGATTTTGAACTACATTTGCCTCACCTGGCTCAAAATATATCTCTTGATAATCGTGATCGAAGTCGAAACTACCAAGTTTTCCGAGTTTTAACATCTGCTCTATTGTCAGTTTCAGCTCCTCTGAATCTTCGTCTTTGGCCAAGACATGAAATTTCATGATGGAGTTCGATCTGAAAAAGAAAAGAACATCAAAATGAATAAAAGTCGGACAAGCTTTTACATTAAAAATAAAAGAACTTATACAGTATTTTTTCCCTCCATTCTTTATGCCTTCCTGGTGAAATGGTAGCGTACACGACGCGGATTCGAAAAATCCAGGTTCGAGTCGGTTGAGGACATTGCTTATTTTTCATGTCTCTTGCTTCAAAAAAAATCTAATGAATCTACAGTCACCCAAACTAAAGCTGGAGGATGATGATTTTTTACCACCAAGATGTGGCTATAAGGTCCCCTTATCCCCAGTCGCCCTTTAAAAGGGGAAGTATGTAGTTTTCTCCCTCCTTTCTTCATGTCTTCGTAGTGTAATGGTATAAGGTATTTCTCCCGCCTTTCTGGCATGGCGTCGTGGTGTAGTGGTTCTGCACGCTGGGCCGGTATCCAGAGGTCCGGTTCGATTCGCGGTGAAGGCGGTTGCTCATTTTTCATCTTGCTTGCTTCCAAAAAATACGTAACGTCTCTACAACGGTAGCACACTAGGCGTGCATTCCAGAGGTCCAGGTTCGAGTCCCGGCGAGGGCATTGCTCATTTTTCATGTTTCGTGCTTCAAAAAATCTAATGACTCTCCAAACGTGTTTTAAAATTATCAAAGAAACATGTCAGAAGCAAGCTTGAAACTTGATAATACGTTTAACTACGATTAACAAGCATAAAGCTAGGGATGAAGTCCGCGGTAAACTGAAAATCACGATTAAAATGAGGGCACTTAACATTACACAAGAAAGAAGTACACGTAGAAGTGGAAGACGCAAATTAACCACCTCCAGACAGACTACGGTAACGCCTCTATTCCCTAACCTTCTTGAGCACAGCCATCCAACAGCTTCTGTGAACATCAGCATTAGATACTGAACTATGCACCTTGGTACAACTTTACTCGGTACATTTGCAGGGATTTAATCAAGTTGATTTACAGTCATTCTATATTTGAACAGCTCTCCTACCGCTCTCTTGCTTTCAGTTCACACTTTCTTGCCAGAATGTAAATTATCCAGCTCACATGTATTGAAATGAGGCATTAACAGTATTGTCGTACTTGGACAGTGTGAAACCGAATATTAATTGCTATAATATTAATTTGTTAAGAATTCAGTGTATTTCAGTGTATGATTAAGGGATTCAGTGTGAAACCGAATATTAATTGCTATAATATTAATTTGTTTCAAATATTAAGCAATATATATTTTTAAAGAATGATTTAACAACGTAAATATATTCCAGATTACGCAAATTAAATTGCCCACTCTTGTTGATAAATACAACTCCCAGTTACTACGACATCACCTAATATCGTTGTTGTTATACCATACATTTTTCGTTTATATTTTTGAAATTTTCTGGAGACTTTGTTTTATGTTGATGGTTTATGATAATAACATTCCCATCATTCCTCAATAAGGAAGCTTACCATTTTTTTAAGACAGTGGCCCGTTTATTTGCAACCTGGTTAATTCATCTTCAGATAATCGGAAGTTAATTTTAATACAAAGAGTTAAATACTAAATTTTTGGAGTAGTTATTAGAACAAATTTCAAAACTTTAAAGGATAAATTTGCTCCTTCTGTGGTTTTTCTAATTAATGCAGATGAAAGAAGAAGAAAATGACAAAAACAACAACAAAACACGTAAGAGTTATTATTAATAAGATTATATTTTAGCTTTCATATACAATATGTGCTACGTTTGTATATAAACATGATCATTTACAAAGATTTTAATCACTTCTTAAGCGCATAGATAAACGTTAAAAGAAGAAATATCACGAAGAAACATTTCATCGCAAAAGAGAACAACCAGGTAAATATTCAAAATAAAATAATGAAAAATTAGCCATTAAATAGTTTGTGATGTAAAAGAAAAATTTCTGTTTTGGTATTTTCAGTTATTTAATACTGACGGAAGAAGTGCTTAAATTAAGGATAATTTAGCAGCTTCATTTTTACTTTTGGTGACTATTTTAAAACACGAAAAATAATCTGAAAGGTATCAGATTTTAAATTACGTCCAAAGGCGCGTTTTTTTAACGGTTTGTGTGTTACCTTTATTTATCAAATATCATGTTCTTTGCACTTAAACTACAAAATTCAGTTCCACAGCAATGTTGCAAAATAATTTTAAAAATGACCATATCTTTAGAATTTCCGATACACAGTTCCGCGCGCTAGGGATAAAAAGGTTTTTCCCCGTAAAGTGTTGCCTTTGCTCTCTTTTCAAGTCGTTGAGTTTATTTAATCAAAAATTCGTTAAAGTTTTACAAAATATGAAACCGATAATTTTAAACAAAACATGAAACAAAATATGAAACAAATTTCAGATTTCAAATTCAGTCTTCCACTGCCCATATTCGTAGGAGGATTACGTCATTAAAAATTGGATGGCTTTAGGTACCGTTGTTTTATCACAGTGCAAGAAACATACATACATTTATGCAGATTCTTCATTATTTAATTTCTTCAAATATAATACAGGGCGATAGTATTTGGTGACAACGATTTAAAAAGTGATACAGCCTTTTAAAGTTTTCAACGCAAAATCGCAAAACGAAAACAATAGTCCTTCAGGGACACAGCCTCTTTGGACTAACAATAATGGGAATTTAGTTTAAGGGGTATCAGAAAAACCTATACCTACACTGACCATTTTCCATGTACCTTTTCTCGAAATCTGCTGTAGATACACGCTTGAAACTTTATGTGTAATTAAAGTATACCTATCTGATTGTACTAAAATGAGCTTTTAAACATTTTGAATTTTAGAGTAATTTACAGAATATTTTGTTAGGCATAGTACAATTTAGCACTTTTCTCACATAAAAAAATTTTAAAATTTTTTTCTCAGTTTATCACAAAAAGCTCATTTCAGTAAATATTAGGAAACCTAATAAATAAGCCATACAAACTGTAGCTACCTGTGAGCAGTAGCTCCTGAGAAAAGGTACATCGAGTATAAAAAATCACGTTTGGAGAAAAACGCGTTTTTATGTAAAAATCCTCATTTATAAAAGCATTCGATGACAAATTAAAACTAGAATTTTTACAGTTCTAATATTCATGGAGATTAAAGAATGGTATTTTTAGAAACATAAAAGTGTAGAGAATTTGAAAATACGAAATCACAATGTTTTGAAGATTTTTGGGTTCCAACACCCCTTAAATTACCCTTTATCTTTCCCCCCTTTTCTATACCTTTTCTTTTTCCTATTCATTCCGCCCAAACGGTATAGTTACTAGGGAAGCCTACTGCGTACCGAAGGGCCCAGGTTCGAATCCTGGAGAAGACAGGGCTGTTTGTAAATGTACAGTGTCTTTGCGGCATGGGGCACTCAAAATACATGACGAGCCGAAAGCCCTCTCGAGAGGTTGATGGTAGGGTACGACTGAGCGAAATCGTACTGTCACTTCTAGGATGCTAAAAGTTTTAGCCAACGATTAGGCGATATCTTATTCTTCTTGCCACGATGAATTTCGTGGGCTTGTTCTGAGATAAGTCACAGCAAGAACATATTAAAAAGGATGTTATTAACATTCTGTTGTATCTCCTCTACAATCCACTGCTTTATCCCTCATAGACTAGTATGATTAGGTCAAGATGAAATTTGCATTAAACATGAATTTAGTATCACATATATTTAGGTTCCCTCTCAGTGCTAAGTAAACATTCCCTCACAAGTTATAGGGCATATTTTAATTATCTATTTTCAGAAGATATTCAGATTTTAAATTCGTGTTTTCTTAAGCTATTCTACTCGTAAAGAATTACCTTATATGTGTCATAGATATGCAGTGTTATTAGAAAGCAAAAATATTTTCAGTTTTATCTGCACTTACTTAAAAAAAAAGGCACTGTATTTGCCGGCGTATAAGACGCGCTCTTTTTCTTTGAAAATAGGTCTGAAAAACGGTTGCGTCTTATACTCAGTTTATTCAGAGTTATTCGTTATTTTCTTGTTTCCTCCTGGAGTTTGGGCATATACGTAGAGTAGCACGTAGAGTACGTAGAGTTCAGTGAATACGTATGAGTTGGTTCGTTTAATTTTTGGTGAGCGATTTTTAAGTGTGTGAAATTTCTATTCTTCAATTTTCTTGGAAAATTATGGTTCAAAAACAAGTCGGCATTGCTATAACATAGCATACAAGCTACTTGTGATTGCGTATGCTAAAGAACATGGGAACAGGACTGCAAAGAGGCATTTCGGGAGATCCCCAACTGAGAAAATCACAAGAACTTGGCGGAATCAAGAAGAGGATGGCATAGAGGACAGTTTTTTGTATTGTAGAGACATTAGGATTTTTTTGGAAGCAGGAAAGATTAACAATTTGCAACGTCTTCGCCGGTAATCGAAACTCGGACCTCTGGAATACGCGCCCACCGTGCAGACCACCACACCACGAAGACATGCCAAGAAGGCGGGAAAAATACCTTATATACTCCCCCTTTTAAACGGCGACTGGGGTTTTTAGGGGATCCAATCGCCAAATCCTTGGTGTGGAGATTCATCATCCACGACTCTTTTAGTTCGGGCGCCACTGTAGAGACATTGGGATTTTTAAGAAGCAGGCAACATGAAAAATTAACAAAGTCTTCGCCGGGAATCGAAGAGCGTACTTCTGGAATACCGGCCCAGTGTGCAGACCACCACACCAGGAAGGCATGCCAAGAAAGTGGAAGAAATACCTTATATTATGAGGACTCAGAATGCTGATTTAGATGAGGTTTCAAATGACTCTTCATTAGCTCTGGAGAAGAGTGTCTGGGTTCTGACGAAGAAGATTAAAATGTGTTCTTTTCCAGATAGATTGGGTATTTATAGAAATTCTTACTTTATATTTGTATTACTTTATATTTAAAATACTGCAAATTCATTATAATGATCAGTAATAAAGTTTTATCCATTAAAATTGCGTATAAAAAAGGGCATTTCCTATGGAATTCAATGTTCCTGGAAACTTAATT